AACCCCCCCCCCCCCCCCAACTCTAGTGTGCACAGCGCGGTGTTGTAGCGGCTCCTTCGGCGTGCGATATTCCCCTGTTGTTCCAACTTAGCTAGACTGCGCAGTCGATATGACACCCTGTCTAACCCCGATCCCGAAATGTATCAATTGGCTATGTCACTTTGTTGTGTTCCTTTTTGATTATATTGTCGCCCTTCTCTACCCCCCCCTTCCCCCCACGCACATGAAGCTGAACGAGATGAAGCGGTCCGGCCGCAAAACCCTGGGTGTGGACGAAGACTACACGAACCTCTACCGCTACGCCGCCACTCTCCGCAAGGAGGATAACCTCGATCGGGAGGAGCGGGCCGGCGTTGAGAAGTCGGTGGTGAGGTGGCCAAGTTTTAGAGTATTTTTGGAGGATGCAGGAATGCAAAGCTGGTCCACCCTCGTTGGTGGTTCAGGGTAGTTTAACGCCGCGACTTTCCTCGGTTCGACCCCTTGCTTTTTTTTTTGCGCACGTGAGTTTATCCAATCGTCCCCTAGCTCCCCCCCCAACCATCGGCCGTTTGTTCATCCACGGTGCCCCCTTGCGGGTCCCTCGCCTCGCATTCCTCATCAAACTTATCCGGCGACAACCCTCCCTGTCACAGCAACAGTGCCGTGGTTGACATCTTGTACTGCAACAACTTTTTTTTTCGGGCCTCCTGTTGAAGATCAGAGTGCTACGTTCAGGTACATTGTGTCCGCGTAGTCGGCAGCGAAAACGTCTCGAAAGACGAGAGAAAGTCCGCGCGTGACAGCATCCGCGACCTGTACTTGCCCATTCTTTAATTCTTTTTTCGTGCCCGCGTGTGTTTCGTCCGTGTTAACCCTGTTCTCAACGGCGGTTTTCGCCGCCATCGTCCTCCGTTGTCCTCTCTCTCTCTCTCTCTCTCTCTCTCTCTCTCTCTCTCTCGCTCTCTTCGCACACCACACGTACTGCTTCACATCCTAATCATTACAGGGAAATTTCCTCACCGGTGCCCTGCGGAACTTCGGCAAGGCACTCGCGGCCAGCAGGGAGCCCGACCTGCGAGCCGTGTTCGCAGTGGTATCGTTGTGGTTCAACAACCGAACGGACGATGCGGTGGACGAGGAGATGAAGGAGATCACTCGTACGGTAAGTTTTACGAAGGAGGCATCTCTGTCGAGGAGTGTTTTTTTTTTTTTTTTTTTGGGGGGGGG